TGGGTGTCGCGCAGCGGGCTCGGGGCGCTGCCGCCCGCGCTGCAGCCGCTGCTGGCGTGCCTGGTGGGCGGCGCAGGCTGCCTGCTGGCCCTGGGGTTGGAGCACTGCGCACACAGCCCGGACGCCTCCGCGCCGCCGCGCCGGTCCAGCTGGGCCGAGGACAAAGTGCCGGTGATCAGACCCCGGAGGAGGTCCAGCTGCGTGTCGCTGGGAGAAGCGGCTGGTTACCATGGCAGTGGCAAAGCGTTCCGGAGACCGTCGCTGCCTTGCATTTCCAGGGAGCAGGTAGGTGCTGGGAGTCCCGCGCGGGTTGGCGGTGCCCCGGGTGCGGCGGGGCAGCAGGCGCGGGAGGCCAACGGGACAGCTCGCTGGAGAGGCCTTTCCAGGACAGTTCTGGAAAGCGGGGAGCACATGGCCTCTATCGGAGTAGCGAGGAGAGAGCCCCCTCTTAGCCCTCAGCAGGCAGGGGGTGAGTTTTCAGGAGGGTCGTGGCTGGGGCTTTGGTGGACTGACTGACCGATCGCACTTCGGACACACAGCCACAGTGCATGATTGAGGGTGCTGGACATCGGCTTGGTGTTAAATAGGACGTCTGCCCGAGGATGGAGAGCATCGTGCACACAGGCTTTCAGGTGCACTTTCATCACTTGGGCTGATGTGAGGTTTAAGCCTTAAAAGGACACCCCTGAGCTTTGGGACTGAGACTTTAGAGGAACAGAGGGCAGTGGACTGATTGCCTTTGTGGACTAACTGGGAACTTGTGAATTTCTTGCATAATTAGGAGAATGCTTTAGCAATTTAACCCTTAAGCATAGTCAGGTCTATTCGGAATGAGGCCCCAAACATTTTCCCTTCCCCCTGCGCCCATAGGTATATATATATATATATATATATATATATATATTTAAATCATGACTAGGGAATGAGCTTTTATCTACAGAGTGCAGTGAAGCCTCCCTGGTCTGCACACCAAGAAATCCTGGCGGATAGATAGATACTCGCAGTTGAGCTTTACAGAGTGCAGATGCTGTGCAGTTAAGATCTCAGCTACTCTGCGGACTGTCCTTGGCAGGGTGGATTAGACAGGTGGGAGTACAGGCTGACCGAAAAGCGCCTGCTTGACAGGTCTAAGGTTAGGCAGGCAGAGTTGGCATCTGCTTGGATTTTTCAGCTCGCAGAGGTGGGTTCTGCACAATTTAAGGGCGAGGGCAGAAACTTGAAGCAGGAATGTGTAACCCTAGCTGTCAGATTTTACTGATTAGTGATTTTTTTTACACTGGGCCCAGTAGATTGGAAACAAGTTTCTTACCTTTACCACATTTGAAGCACTGTTCTCTCAGCCTCTTGTGTCCTCTTCAAAATAACCTTCGAGCTGCTGCATTGATCTTATAGCCTGTCAGCACCGATCCTCAGACTGTGGTATGGTGTGTTCCAGTGAAACAGCACTTTTCTTGATTTTATTTTATTTTATTTTTTTGAGACAGGGTCTTGCTATGGATCCTTCGGTGGCTCTCCCAGGCTGGCCTTGGACTGGAGGACCCTCCTGCCTCCTGCTCCAGAGTGCAACACTTTCCTTCTTGAAATGGCTTTAGTATGCCACTCTTGTAGTCAGTGATTATTTGACTAGATGCTAGGGAAAGAAATTACACCTTTTATTTTCTAAGTTTTTTTGTCAATAATAAGAGCCAATGTTTAGAAAAATGTGTTACCAAGGAGAAAGTTTTTAGAGGATTCATTATAAGGCAGATCATATCAGCTACTTTCTTGGAGTAGAATAATACCAGACTTTTGTGTGTATAAGTTGCATTTTTAAAGTCTTTTAGCATAGTCTCCTCACATTTGTAGAGAATTTTCAGGACAGCTTTACAGTTCAACATATTTCAGTTGTAATTTGTTGATGTAGTCAGTTATGTCTGTTCTTTTGTAAATTGGAAACTTCTAGTCTTCCTTAATCCTAGCGTGGTTTCCCTTTTTATCAGTGCTTTTTAATCAGCCTCTAACTAGGTGCACTGTTATGCCAGGAAGCTTCGTTTATTATTTATGTCAGAAGAAAATACAATTTGGGTTCTAAAGACAGCATATTTTCTTAGAGCAGAAAACCCTTATTCATAGTCTACTCTGAGTAGAAATGTTTTGAGGGTCTTAAAGTATAGAGGTTTGTTCATGGTCACCTACTACGTTGGCATTTCTAGAAAAGGACATTTTTTAAACTATCGAGGATTATAAATACAAAAATTCTTATGTAAGTTCTTGAAGTTTAACAGATTTGTGTACTTATGTGTGTTTTGCATGTAAATTGTGCTAAGAAAGTTAAGAAGTCAGAACTTTATGAAGCAAAAGATGCAGTTTTCTAAATTTTCAAAGTGTTGTATATGAGAATTGTAAAAACATTTTTCTTGTTTCAGACAGTGAGAAAGAATTTAGGTGAAACTTGGCTTAAAGGAAAGCGTTCTGGAGTCACAGGCAGGCTTGAGGGTCAAACCTTCACTTTCCTGTTAACTTTGGAGGCACCAGTTAACTTCTTTGTGTCTCTGTGGCAGTAGGTGAATTCTATAATACCTTCTGATTCCAAAACTGATTTATTCATCTACTTTATACTTTTGGTAAGGTATAAATAAAAATATATGTGGTTACAACTTAATGCATTTAAAAAGTTTTATTTTAATATTGAAGGTTGTTACTACTATCATATATTTTTCAAGGTATAATTGGAAAAGGTGAACAGATATTTGGTATTTCTTTGGATAGAAATTTCTTTTAAAAAGTATATGTGAATTAATTTTTTGTGATAACAAAATTGTTTCACTTTAGAACTTAAATATTTTTACTAACATTTTAAAATGCTGGGCAATGCATATCAATATAAATTTCAATATAATTTTTTTATGAACGAATAGAATTAGCAATTTTTACTTTTAAGATGTTATATTAGGTACCATGTTGAAAATAATGTCATGATTATAAATATTTGTAAGTTAGATTTATATTTATTCACATACCATATGTATGATAGCTCTTAACTAAGATCCTTTTATTGGAAAGTGCTTAGGGATTCAAGATTTAAATGGAGTTACTCCTGACTGTGTTCTACTTTGGTCGGTTAATAGAAAGAAGCAGTCAGTTTACAGTGTGTGAGGAATCAGCTGAACCCAGGAGTTTTCAGCTTTTCAACAGTGTTGTTTCATGTGTGATGAGGTAAATGTGAGGTTTTGAAAGATGTAAGTTAGTATCTAAGATTTTCTTCTGTACCTGAATTGCCAAGTGCTTTCTAAATGGTTAGGTAAATATTTGAAAACCCTGTGGCCTTAGTACTCATAAATATTATTTAGTGTTAATTTTATTTAGAAAAAGTATAAATATGTAGTATTAAGACTTAAGGGATTTTTTAAAAGTGTGATTATTTAATGTCCCCAGATTATTTGTAAGGCATAGCCATCTGTGAATTTCTTTAATAATGCTGCAGTATTTTTGACATTTATTTCATAGCTTCAATGAGCATTTTAATTTCATGTTAAAGTCTGGTAGTGATGATCTCCTACACAACACTGTTACATCCGTGTAACTATTATATGTATGCTGCCACCAGTTACTCTTCATGCCCTTCACCATTGCTTACAGAGTCCTTTATTCCATGTTTTGGGCCTTGCTCGTTTTTTATTTTGAAGCACTTCAGGATTTGTGGACCCGCCTTCCCTACATTCATCTTTAGCTTTAGCTGCTTCAGGGTTTGTTGGTACTGGGCTTGTTGTTGGTTTTTCTTCCTTTGCTTTTTACCCCTTCCTACTCGTTGAAAGATTAGGAAATATTTGGACAGTAAACTGATATGCAGACTGAGAACAAACCCCTGGAGTTTTATTGCAGAGTTGACCATATTTAAGAGTAAATGTTGACAATGTGATAGAATATTTTAATTGTATCAGACAGTGACATTTCTGTAACTTGAGTTTTGACACTGGGTGAAGGCACGTTCCGGGAAGCTGTAAGGTTGGTTTTCCGTGTCTGTAGCCTGTCCTCCTCAGTGACAGGTCCTTCTCTGGTCAGCCCCTTGCCCTTTTTCCTTTCGATTTCCAGGCCAGCCTATTTCCCCAGCACACCTCCCTGCCTTTCTACACCCGATCCATGGCAGGAGGAATCTGTTCTTGCTGAAAAGCTTGTTGTAATGTACATGTTTGTGTAGATCGTATTGGAGAAACAGAGTTTAATTCAAGTCTCCTTATGTAGAAGGGAGAGAAATTGAACCCCAGAAGAACAAAAATCTTTACGCTGGGTTATGCTCTGAGATATTGTGAGAACGAGGGCTGGAACCTAGGTCTTGTAGTCCACCTATGCTTTTCATAAACTGTGTAACCTACAGTCATAGCTTCCCAAGGCTGTGTTTAATTTTTCTTTCTAGGCATTTCCATTTACACAGTTCTAGGAGGTCAGGGGAGGGAGAATTAGGAAGGCCTCTTGAAATCAGAGTCCATAAGAATGACCTTGAAGATGAACTCTGAGGTCTGATGTAGCTGACTTGTTAGGATGCAGCTAGTCCCCAACTCAAGTGTCATCAGGGGCCAGTCTTGTCATTCGTGTCTGTGTTGAAGGAGGCGGGAGTGGAAAGAGCAAGAACAGACGTGAACTGTCAGATGCCTGCTTGGCAAAAAGCATTCTATTCAAACAAAACATGCGAAAACTACCGTGTTAGCGAAACAAAACTTTGGGAGAGCTGGATTCTGTCTGTGGCCAATTCTTGACAGTTTATAACATCGAGTTGGTGGTATTCACTTTGTTATTTACAAGCAGATCTAGAGGTGGTTAGGTGTTAGAAGCCTCTTCATGGACCTTGGGTTAGAAGACTGTGTTTCTCAGTGTATTTTTCTTTTGTAATCTGGAACTTTCTCATCAGCGTTGGTTTTTCTGAGAGGTATCCTATCCGAAGACTTCTTCTTTGCTCAGCTACAGTACGTGTGACTGTTTCTTCCTCCCTCACTTTTCATACAACTTCCATTCCACACATTTTAAATATATTTAGTTGGAACTGAAATGTTTAATGGAAAATGCCATCTGTAAAAGATTCTATGTGTATTTTATATGGTTTAAGGAAAAATAGAAAATTATAAAACAGAGGTCACAGTCACTACTTGCTTCCTTTGAAAGCTGCCTTCTTCCCCAACCTCTGGTGCAACCCAGTCTTCTTTCTCTGGACTTTTTTCCTGTCCATTCCCTTGCTTATCTTTAGAATTATAACCTCCTATGACTGTATCCCTCAGTGTCAATAGTCCTACCTGCTTTTGAACTTTAGATAA